AGTACTTCTTTCATTATAGTTATCATTTCTTTTTTTACTTCAGAAATTATTTATAATCTGATTTTCTCTATACATTTCTGCAGTTGTTTCTTTACTTTAGATGCTGTTATTTCAGAAATTTCAGGTGTGTGATTTCCAATTTCTTCTATGCTGTTGTCTCCTGCCTGCATTTGTTCTGGGTGGGTTTGGGGCCTGAGGATGTATTTTATTCCTTATCTTTGTCATTTTATATAGCGCTGTCTTCTGACCTTTGGTATAGAGCTTTGATAGAGTTACTATCTTAGCACCAGGTCCGGATCTACCAAGGTCAAACTCATCCAGATGAGTGTGGCTTGGGTCTGGCTGCTGTGCTCCACTTTTTCCTGCTGCAGCCCTCGGAGGTGAACCTACTGTGCCACACTGGCAAGATGTTCTGCTCCTGGATCGGCTGAGTGGTTCTTGCCTCTGGCCTCTCTGTAGGGAGTTGTGCCGCAGGGTTTCACAGCAGGCTTGTCTGGTAGAGGAAGTTCCACTCACATTCTGGGCCTGGCCACTGACTGGAATGAAGATCCTGCAGACCCCAGGTGATCTCACTCATGCCAGACTTAGGCTCTGGGTCAAATGAGGATCCAGCAGGCTCTGGGCTGCGTCCCTCACTCCGGGCCTGGCTTCTGGGTCGAATGTAGTGGATTATATTAAAACTGATCCATATGACTGCTCAGGGGAAACATTTATCACTTCACCTCTATTGCATCAGAAAGGGGTTGATATGATAATTATATGATACTTCCAAACACTGTGTTAAAACCAGATAGATGTGCAGCTTGATGGAGAAAGGTCCTTTACAGACTGAAAATCTGAATTCTTCCTCGGGCACTGTCTCATTCAATCCTTATCGCTCATTTGTGCAGTGAAACTAACAAACTCATATTATTCTAAGCTAATTATGAGGATTAAATGAATGGAGACTTAGTAGAGTATGTGACGGAGTAAAGACAAAACATCAGCCATTGCTACAATCATTGTTATAGCTGACATCACTTTTAGAACTCTGTTTATATTTTTAATGTCCTTCTCTCTCTTCCCCTAATACAATTTAATGTATGAATTTCTAAACCAAAATGTTTGGACCACACAGGCTTCTAATTGCACTAAGTTTGTATCATTCATGAAGTCTTGGGCATTATAATTCACAAATATTCATCATACGATTAGAAGATAAAATGAATGCAGGAGGACTTCAGCCTTCTAGAGTGGATAGTTACAGGACTTCATTGCAGGTGTGTGCCATCCTCAGGTAGCCAGTCCTCTGCTAGAATGGTGTGAATCTACTGGAGACACGATGGTTGGATAGGAGAGTTGCATTTTATTCTTTTAACTTTTATTTTTGTTAGTGCATCTTTGTGCTACGTAATGATTACATTCTTCGTGGGATGTTGCACAATAATAACGTGGTATCAAAAAACCAGAGTAACCACGGTGTGGTGCAACATGTCTGTAATCCCAGCAGGTGGGAGGCTGAGGCAAAAGGATTTCCCCAAGTTTGAGGCCAACCTGGGCTATATAATGACTTTCAGGTGAGCCTGAACTACACAGCAAGACCATGTCTCAACCCCTGCTCCCCAAAAATGATAACGCACTGGAATGCAGGATACCTGTATTTTGTTCTGATTTTTGCCATGTGACACAGGCTGATGGAAAATTTCCTGTGGCTTATTTTCCTCAATTACATGATGGATTTGATATTGTTGAATATGCCTAACTGTTCTATAATGCTGTATTTGTTTCAATTTTAAAACTTTTTACATTGCTTTGAATGTTTTATTTTTTTACCAATATTAATGTCTTTATTGGACTTAGAAGACTACAGCTATTGTTTTCTGTGTGCCTCATATCTTCTTACCATTATGAAGATAGGTTTCATGCATAACAGTAAATTTTTATTTTCTGGAAACAAGCTTACTTAGTTTGAAAATTAAATTAAAATTTGTGTAAAGTTTTTCAGAAAAAAATACTAGTTGCATGCTGTCACTTGTTTTCAAGAGTAATTGCAGCTAAAAGACAAACTAGAAGATTCAAAGATTCAGTAATACTTATGTTTTTCTGTAATTTAACTGGAAAAAATGAAAAGCTGTTGGGCTGTAATAAAAGCACACACATAAGGAAGACACATAATGAGGTTATAATACTGTAGTGACTTGTGTGATTTGACACCTTTTTAGGTGTCATTTGTTAGAGCATAGTATAATATTCTTTGCTCTTTTTTAATAGTATTAAATTTTCTTTTGGAAATTTTGCATGGAAAATGTTCACAATATTCAAATAAAGAAGCAATAGGAAATTGATACTTAAAGAAGATTAATTAAAGGAGAAAATGTGAAGTTTTTAAAAAGATACGTGTGTTGGAATATTCGTAGATGCTACATATTCTTCCATGATGCTAACAATTGCTTAAATTTCATTTTTATTTTAATAATGCAGAAATCAAGAAAATTGGGCAAATTCACTAAATGCTTTTAGCATTTTATTTTGTGACACTATGTTTCCTCAAAAGAAAATATTCAAGATAAGTATAAGGAAGAAGTACTGCTTCATGAAAAAAGAAGACAATCCTAAATTCATAACTTGGTGCAGGTTTTGCCCGCAGCCATATGCGATACTAAAGTTTAATGCTTTACAGCTGCAGAAATAATTGCATGAGCATTATCTAAACAACAATCTTTAATGGATTTCATTTTGTAAGCTGTTCATTATATTATGTAAAAGCACCCATAATATACTAAATGGGGAAAATAGTTTGATTTATCTGACTTAGAGCTTTAATATAGGTTTTTAAGAATTTTTTATTATTTATTGGTTTATTTGAGATAGGATCTCAGTACATAAAATGTAGTATTAACAAGTTGTGTTCAGGCCTTCCACAAAGTGTGGCAAATTATGTACTTTTATTTGGGAAGTAATTTCATATTAGTATTTGTTTTGTTTTGTTTTGTTCTGTTTTGAGTGGAACCGGGGATTGAACTCAGGCCCTTGCGCTTGCCAGGGAAGCGCTTATTCCACTGAGCCATCTCCCCAGCCCCCCATATTAGTATTTCAGGGGTGTTAAAACTTTTCAAAGATCTTGTCCTAAATTACCAACTTGATCCCCCCTCCCCACCGAAAAAGCATATGAGTGCTTGACAAGGTCAGTTCATTTATTTTTTCTATAAACCTTGCATGTTATTTTCAGCAAATCCTTAACACCTAACGCTAATATGAGCTTATTAATAATGAAAGTCTTCATGTTCTATTCTTTTATTATGTGGCAGCAATAAGCAGAGTTTGCAGTTCAAGAAAGCTTATTTTTGTGCCAATTTGTGTTACTCGTAGCTTAGAGGATTGAGTTAGAATTACAATAGAGCAGCACAGTTATAGCTCCCTGGTTTTGTCTTTTATCATTCTTTCCAAAGATAAGGAAGGAGGAGTTGTCCTTGAAGTAGAATTTTTCAGCCATTAATATACTCATGTTGGGCACAGCATATCTCAGCAGACAGGTTAAAAGAGGAGCTTCAAATAATATCATGGTTTACTGACACAGTACAGAGGAAGGCCACGTGAAGAACTTGCCAAGAGAAATGCAAACTTTTTAAATCTATAAATGTGTTTGAAGTATTGAAACTATAACTGCAAAATGGCATTTTAATAATAGCATATAAATTCTAAACATTGTAATGTTTTATCTACCAAGATAAGATGCTGGTGGAATGTATAGACATCCGTGCATTCTACAACTGTAGTATCAAATTTAGTTCAATAGATTATAAAGTAAATAATGTTTTACGTGCCAAATTTGTATACTTAGCATACCAATAGCCTTTTTATGTATTCTATGAAGTTACTAAAATGGCCCACAGTTTATTATGCTCAGAATTAAGGAAAATAGTGTGAGAGAATTTAAATAGTTAATTGTTTTTGAGATTTTTAAACTGATACATATATGTATGTATTTATTTATACATTCCTGTTTTGTAAATAAGGAAACAATAAGAAATGGTTTTAAATTTAAATTATCAGGTACACAACAGAGCTGTGATCACAGACTAATGCTGACTATTTCATGACCTCTTGCTGTTATCAAGATACTATGCATAATATCATTTTATAAATTTTTTGGAGTATATATTTGGTAATATTGCACATTTTATTGCAAATTAATAGTTTGTTTATTTTATAGTATGTTACTTATTTCACAGTATGTAATTATATGATAGAATCCAGTTGGGATTTGTTAATTACCTGTTTCCTTCTCTGTATCATAATTGTAATATAAATGTGGTTGTTAATATCATTCATTCTAAATAAGTTTAATAATTAAATGAGATAGTACAAGATACCCCCAAATCTTAGGTCATGAATTCTAAGTACCACTGGTAGTATTGGTATTTTTATTATTGGTGTCTTCTAAGAATTTACCTCATTTGATTGATAATGAAAGAACACAGACAAAAATTTTAGAATAGTCACTTTGCAAACATGAGAAATTTTTATTTAAATATTAAATTGTCATAATGTAATCCAAATAAATTTTAAATATCTGTAAATCCTCTTTCATTTAAATGCATGCTTGTGTGTCCTTATCTTTTAGTGTGTTTATGTGTGCATAATTAAATTATACAAAACAGCATTCTGATTCATCAAATAAGTAGAAGAAAATTCAGTTGCATTCATTAACTTAGAGATGAGAAAAATATAAACAGTGGACAGAAAAGAAATGCAAGTTAGAAAGAGGCCAGAAGCTAATGATGAAGGTACAAAGCCACAGGCTACATTTACCCGCTGGCCTATGAGGAATAGGAAGTTATCCCTCCTGTGTTACCTCAGGCACAAGTATTGGCATCACCTTGCAGATGTCTGTGTGTAGATTAAAGCTGTATTGCAGTAGCTGATAATAGAAGTTTACTACCCTAGATGTCTCTTCCCCTGAAGCTGAGAGACACACTGTTACATATGTTGAATATAATGCTTTAATCCTGTTCCTACAGTACTGCGAGATGACTTCAGACAGAACCCTTCAGATGTCATGGTGGCTGTTGGGGAGCCTGCAGTAATGGAGTGCCAGCCCCCGCGAGGCCATCCGGAGCCTACCATTTCCTGGAAGAAGGACGGCTCTCCACTGGACGATAAAGATGAAAGGATAACTGTAAGTGTCTCACTCGACAGCAGAGAATATCTGCGTGCCTTACTGTACATACCTTCCCCAAAGAAAAGGAGAAAATCAAAGCAGATTTTTAGATAAGGATTGCATTTGCTCACTTTCAGTTCTTCTTTTAAAAATATATTTCAGTTCTCCCTGAATGGACATGAAAATGTGTGTAGAAAATACATGGTGATTCATTCAAAGATCAGTAGATGAAAAACTGTAATTTGTACTTTAACGTTTTACAACTAATGTTTTAGGTGGATTTAATTATTATTATAATTCAGAACTTATAGCATTTCTATACATTATAGTTATAACAATTTCTTCTAAAAATATCAGCTATATAGTTAGAATATTTCCAAAAGTTCTTTGTGAAAAATAAAAATCTTATTCTGAATGATAGCCAATGATGAGTTCATTTCATTATATAATACAATTGTGTAACTGGATTTCGGCTCTCAGAGTTCTGCACCACTATGAATGATAAAATCTTGAAGTTGTTTTTCCATGTAATTGGTTTTTACAGGGTCTCACTACGCAGCTGGGACTTGTAGTGATCTTCCTGTTTTCGGCCTCCCAGCACTGGGTTTATAGACTCGTGCCACCACACCTGGTCTCAGTCGCTGGCTCAGTGTATCTGGGGCCATTGCGGCATATGGTGCCTGGGCTCGAACCCCAGTTCTTGCTCTTGCCGAAGCAGATGCTTAGTCTACTGAGCTGTCACTGGCCCAATGACAGGAACTGTAGTTTTCCTTTTTCTTCCTGACAGCATTGATTGCACACAAGGTCTTCACTTTTCTGTCTTATAATTTGTTCATGGAAACAGCTCATTCAACCAAGCTGTCATTGACTATATCTGTTCAGTATTCCATTTTAAAATTTCCTTTGATTGTGTGATTTCCATGACATGTCTCCATTGTGGATTTATTCACCATGTTTAAAGCTCCCTAGGTGAGTGTGCGCACTGCTAAAGCTAAAGAACAGAATTGTAAGGCGGATATTATGAATGTAATAAATGCTTGACCTTATCAGATATAAAAGTTACATTTCTTATTATATAGGTCTTGCTTTATCTTGATCTTAACCATCCAGCAGAAAAGTATAAAATCAAGGTATATAAAATAAAATCATATTAATATGCTGAGCTGTAAAAGGCTCTAGTAAACAACTTCAGTGGACAACCCCCTACTATTGTGGACTGCTGGACTGTGTTGGATTGTTTAGCTGAATTCAAGCACCTATAATATTTAGATGCCAATAGAATACCCATCTCTGACAAGACTGAACAAAAAATAGGATACAAAGGAAGGATCATTTTGTATCTGTATATACAGAATCATTAGGATAGATATACAGCTACTTTCACTTAATTCAAGAAGAAAGATTTGTAGTAATAGTGTTTGGACAGGATATCCTGTCTGCTTCTTTTACTACGGATAACCACTAAGAAGATAACAATGTACAATGTATTAATTATTGAAACTGTCCTATTAATCAGCTTTGAAACTGTCTCATTGATATTTGTTTCTCAATAAAATAAAATAAATTTAAAAATAAAAATAAAATAAATGCATTCCTTACTACTGAACAGCTAGTAGCCTGTTAGCATGATAGAAAATTTAACAGTAGTCAAGGATGTGGCAGGCAAGATCTTAGGGATCTGAAGAACAACCCAAGCATTTTTTTTTCTGCTCTGATCCAAATTAGATTGATTCTATAAAAGGAATTTTATAACTCTAGGTGTAGAGTAAGCATGTCCCAACTTTACTTTAGAAATGTGTGGGAAAGTCAAATGATGGAATGAAAACTACAAGTAAATGCTTTGGTTTAGACCATGAACTCAGTTGCCCTGGGGACAGAAGAGTATAGGGATAAAAGCTTCTCTGGTTAGTGCTGATATTTCTTTTATATACAATTAAGATAAGAACATTCTGCTTCTAGAAACATATTCCAGATCCCTTAAATAATATTATTTATAAATATATGTCCTTGTCTTAAAAAGTCAAACGTATTGAAACCTTTATTACTCTTGATTTCCTTATGTCTCTCCTGCTTACCCGCTTCATACTAATCAGTGACAAAATTCTCCAAACTGAAGATGTGGTGCTAAAAAGTCATAGTCTTTGTGGACTTTATAAACAGAGCTAAGGAAACACAATATAAAGTTTGCCAAATTATAACAAATCCTTGAAAAGTAGTCAACACATAGAGGGATTCATTAGAGGTTGGGTGAGACTGACATTTTATATAGGCTACTCAGAGAATACCTCACCTAAAATCCTGAAAAATATGGATGAAGGGAACCATACATTTGTCCAGAAAAGTTTGTGGTAAATGAAACAGCAAATGCTAAAATCTTAAGGTGTGATCTGCCTGATGCTTTACTAAAGGGCAAAGAATGAGTGTGGGCTAACAGAGTGCAGGGGAGCTGTGCTGCCCTGGCACAGGGGTGGGTGAGGTGGTGACCGGAAGCCACACTGTGCTAGTGCCCTGCAGCTGTTGTAGGTTCTTTGGCTTCTCCTATCAGAAAGGTGGGAAGGATCACAGGCTACTCAGAGGAACTTTCTGGTGTGTGGAGATCACACTTTAAGTGAAAAGTAAGGAAACCAGTTGGAAGTTTCTTGAAGGATCCAAGCAAAAGATAAATGGTGGGCTGCAACCATCTGTTAAAAGCGGAGGGAGTGAGAAGTGGTTTGGTTAGCCAATAAAATAAGCCAAAAATTAAATGAGGCTTAGGAGGTAAAGCCGAGTGAAGGGTTATCTTCACTGATGTGTCTGAGAAAGTGAAGTTATGTCAGCTATTTACATCACAGGGGCTAAGGGTGTGGCTCTGTGGGTGAACATTTGCCTACCCTGCCAGAGGCTCATAGTTTAATTCTCATTACTGAAAAAAAAATAATAATTACAGGTTCTTGGTTGAAGGAGAACGTTTTAGACTGGAAATTTTAGAATGCTTATGAGATATCCAAGAATATTTGTCAAATAGGCAGTTGTGTAGATGAGTCAGAATTTCAGAGCTGAGGTGGAGGCTGGAGAAAAAATTAGGTTGTGGTAGGCGTACAAGTACTCATTACTAATGAAAGGCTTCATTTCCAACTTCCTTGCCCTTGAGGAGGCCTATGTGACTTGTTTCAGCTTCATGACTTGTTAGTAAAGAAAATGACTGCAGTTGAGTGAGCCTGACATATGCTCTTTTTACTGCTATAAACCCAGGGAAGCTTCATGTTTTAGGTAGAGGAAAAGCACCTACAGAGCCAGAGCCCCTTGCTTCCACTCAGCTGCCTAGGAGCACCCCATACCTCTGTCTTCCTGGTATGAACACATAGGCAAACAGTGAGTTTCTACTGGCTTAAAAGTCACTGAGAATGTCTTACCACAGCATAACATAGCCTACTGTATGAATATAGAACTCATCAATGCATACATTTTATTTAAAATTTGGAGACTGACAACATTAAGGGAGAGAATACAGATAAAAAGGACATGAGCTCTACTGTTAGCTTTCAGGGAGAAGATGCAGAAAAAGCTGCAGATACTGAAAAGATGCAATCAGGTTGAAAGAAGGAAACCCAGTGGCCAGCCAAGTAAAGACAGTTTTTAATGGGGTGGAACTGACCGAGTCAGCTGGTCCTCACAGAACTGAATGATAGGAGAACTAAAAATTGACCGCTGGAGTTAGCAACGTGGTGGTGGTCAGTCATGGATGACCCTACGGAAAGCCCTTCAGGGGGCAAGTGGGAGCTAAAATGTTGCTGAACTGGTCGAAGATTACAACCGGACACACAGTGTGCACAATGCTTTTTGTATTGTATTTTAGATAGTAGATAAAAATGATTGTAGTCTCAAATTTTGAAAGATCTCAGTTAATCCACAATGACATGTTTTGTGTGCATTCCTGTGTGTATTAATACTTGTAATATTACCAGCTTAAAACCCCATAATAAATTTGATTTAAAATTAATTCTTGGGACTTCTTGCTGTGCTGTATATTGAATTAGACAAAATTTTATGGCTCATGCCAAAATATTTATCAAATCTTCATTTACTATTTCTGCCTAGAGGGATCAGTCCTTTAACTAAAAAGAGCTTCAGTTCATAGTCTCATCAGTTAGTTTGAAATCAAAATAAGAATGCCTTCCAATCAGTAATAAAACAAGTTAGAGTTGTAATAACCTATGGCTGTGAAGTAATGCCAACCTGGTAACGTATAAATAATTTTAGAATCATTTAAATGTTGCCAGAATGATGATCCTTAAAAGTGTTCCATATGCCAGGAAGTTGTAACATCTGAAACTTCTACTATTTCTAAGACCATCTGTGTGTTTTGTATAAATTATAACTTGAATTGATAAAACAGTAGAGGTAAAAAGCACATTTATACATTAGTGGCGATGAATACATTATAAAATCAGCAGTTTGGTTTCAAAAGCACTGTTCTTACTTAGATCATAATTGCTTTTGTTTAGTTTCTTCCTTTAGGCGAAATGAAAATTGAGTAATTAAAACAAAAAATGTACATCGTAAATAGAATGCATGACATTATTTCCAATTCTTTCGAAACTTGAAAATAAATTTTTAAGAGATGTTGGTTTTAGATATTTCCTGTGATTTTCCTTTCTCAGGCTTTGTATGCAAATGGTTGTTTTCATTTATATCGCTACTGTACTTTGCCAGATGGGTTAAGTACCAACAAACAGAAGATTAAACCACATAACTTCTTTGGGGAAGGCAGCTGAAGAGCACACAGTCATTGCAACAGTTTTGGTGATAGGAATTTCTAGAGCTCTTTAATGTGGCAGTTTTCTTTGATGAAAATCTTAAGTACACCCCTCCCAGCCTGAGAACAAAGACACACCCTGCAAAACTGAGAACTGTGTAATTAAACTGTCGCTGCACCTGTATTTTTATATTCAGTCATTTCTTTTTTACATCGATCTGTACTCTGAGCCAAATTTTAAATCCATGATGATTACAAATCAGAAATATATAAATAACATTTT